TTGTGGAGATCCCGTGATAGGCTGTTATTCACGGGGATTCACGGGGATTGACGGGCTTGGGAACAGAGGTTTTCGAGTAGATCGGGTTCTGGTGGTAGGTTCATTGCTCAGTGACGAACGGAGGCCCTCTGAGTAGTTGTCTGTTACCCGGTATACGATTGTTTCTGAAACAAGAGACAGTTAGGAATGCCACTGTTCAACTGTTCTTTTTTCCGCTCGTACGTTATCAATGGTCAAGACCACATAAATGGGGTTCAAAAAGGCTCTCGCCACCACACGCTTCACAATATTCCAATGGCGCCTACCCTTACAAAACCGTTCTAGACAGCCAGGACACAACCAAACCATGCAATCATTCTTCCAGCAGTCGAGTAAAGAGTAAAGAAAAGCTGTGTCTTAGGTAAATAGGGGGAATGGGGTGGATCTTCACCCTCACCTTTCCAGAGCCGCATCCGCAGCTTACTTGGCACTGGACCAACAGGTTGCCCCAGGGATGCATGACACGGCCGCTCCGACCAGGNCACGAGTGTTTTTGTCTACCTCGGACAACGAGACACTAGGAGGTCGCGCACACTTTCAGACTTGTAAGAAGACTTACCGGCAAGCCGTCAACTCCGGTTAGCTTCAGATAGGGGGAATGGGGTGGGTCTCCGCCCTCACCTTTCCAGAGCCGCATCCGCAGCTTACTTGGCACTGGACCAACAGGTTGCCCCAGGGATGCATGACACGGCCGCTCCGACCAGGATTTTGGTGTGTAGATAAATGCACTGTGTGAGGGGTGACCGGGTGCATGAGTGCTGTTCGCAGTTAGGGAGGCAATACCCCTGTGCCCTTACCCGACTCCGATCTTTGACTGCGAGTGATTAACCGAGAGAGTGATTCTCCCGCCGAACCACCTGTACGTTTCATTTTTCCTTTTTCCTTCTTTTCGTTTCACTTTCCTTTCTTTTTTCCCGTCTTTTTCTTTTTCTTCTTTCCTTAAGCGGTTGATAGGATAACTCGCTATTTTGACGGCTTATACGGTTGGGACCTGGTTGGTGCCCTCCTTTTTTCTTCTAATTAGTATTATCATTCCCAGTTTCAACACCATGGGGCGTTGGGAGCCGACCCGAATTTATCCCGTCACCCATTACTGACTTTCGAGTATTCCTCGCATTATTGTCTAGCCGGTGGGTTTTTTAGCGTTATAGGTATATATATATTTTTTCTGGGTCATGAGGGATAAAAATCCCGCTTCCTTTCTTGGATAGGGGTTGTTTCTAGTGGTGGTTGGGCGTTATATCGCATAGGTGAGTTACCTTCGTGATACACACCGAGTAATCAACCGTCTGGTCTCCGACCTATTTCGCAGAATACAGCTCTGGCATCAGCGAGGATAGAGTAAAGGTAAAAATGGGGGGTCACACATCCACATCACCTCATCTGCAAACATACTCAATGTACAACAATCAAAGGCCAGTGATCAGATTCCCCAGGTCGGGGTCTCTCCAATCGCCAGTAACGATCTATCAAACGGAGCGCCAGGGTACTGTTCGACTATGTGTTGATCAAGTAGCTTTTTGAACGGTTGTTTAGTTTTAGCCTGGACCACTGTGGCTGGCAGTGATTTCCAAGGGCGACATACACGTACCGAGAAACAGTGTTCCCGGACTCAGTCTGGGACGCTGATTCTCCAGTTTTATGGAGTGGCCGCGCAGTGCTGACGGAGAGGCCATCGGGAACAGATGTCTGTTGGGTTGCCCCTGAACTTTGAGTGCATCCCTCAGGAGGATCAGGTCGCCCCTTACCCTCCTATATTCCATGCTGTACAAGTTGAGCAAACGGCTTCTATCCGGGTAGGGTTTGCGTGACAAACCCAGTACTCGTTTTGTGGCTTTCCGCTGTGCCCGCTCAATGGAGTTGACATCCCTCCTAAGCAGCGGCGGGCACGCCTGGATGTTGATCTCCAAACGTGGCCGGATGAGCGCAGCAAAAATCTTGGGGAAAGACTGTGGTGTGAATTTCCCCAGGAGTCGGCTTATTTGGTTGAGTTTGAACATTGCCCTCTGGGCCAGTGTGTTGCAGTTAGTTTGCTGGGACAGATCATCAGTAATGACTGCGCCCAGGTCCCTTTCGTGCCTGACCCTCTGCAATATTCTACCTCCCAGCAAGTAGTCGTTTGCACAATGCCCTGCAATGTGCATAGCTTTACATTTGTCAAGGCTGAATGGCAACCCGTTTGCGACTGACCAGGTAAAAAGCCTGTCTAGGTCCTCTTGCAGCGTGCACTTATCTAACGGGCTTTGAATCGCCCGGCAGATCTTAATGTCGTTTGCATACATCAGTAGGTCTGATTGTATGCCGATAGGGACATCGTTCACAAATAATGTGAACAGTGTGGGACCTAAGATAAAGCCCTGGGGTACCCCATTGGGTGTTCCAAACGTATCTGAGAGGACGACGTTCACTCGAACCCGAAGGGTTCGATCGCACAGATAGTCAGAGACTCAAGATATCATGGTTTCGGGGAATCTCAGGTTAGCTAGCTTCTCTAGCAGCAGAGAGTGACGAACTCTATCGAACGCCTTGGAAAAATCCAGCATGGCTGAGTCCAGTTGCACCCCTCTGTCTGCAGCAGTGGTATACCACTCCATGGTCTTAATGAGGTTGTTTTGGCAGGATCGCTTCCCACAAAACCCGTGCTGGGCATCGTGCAGACAGCAATCCTGCTCGACAAACTCGTTGTTTTTGTCGTCAATGAGTCCCTCCATAAACTTTGAGACCACCGAGAACAAGGCTACCGGACGGTAGTTGCTTGGTAAGGTGCGGTCTTCCGACGAATATAGGAGAGACCAGGCACGTCTTCCACTCGTCCGGGACCACACCAACTCTAATAGAGTAGTTGAACAGTCTGCTTAGGGGTAGTGCTATCTGCTCTGAGCACTGCTGCAGCAGTATGGGTGGTATCTAATCAAGTCCCGGTGACTTTGAAGCTAACCGGAGTTGACGACCCGCCGGTAAGTTTCCTTACGAGTCTCAAAGTGCGCGCGACCTCCTACTGTCTCGTTGCCCGAAGTAGGCAAAAACACTCGTGGGAGTAGGGGACGTATATCGGCGAATCGTGGTACTAGATAGTACCGAAATGTGCCGAGGTGACGCTAAACAATGCAAGCGATAAATGCAGTAGTAAAGCGGAAGCGTGTCACACGTACTGCGTGGGTTTGAACAGGACCCAGCTTATATATACACTTGAGCGGAAAACCGTGCTCAGTAAAACAAGCAGAAGTGAAACAGAGAAATGTCACAGTTGGAGCCAGAGTTGATTGTGAGGAAAATATGAACGGAAAACGTTCTCGTGGATTGTCCCTTTCCTTCGTACAATCATGTTGACCACAACGTTTTAGCTACGAGACTTGCCAGGTTTAGTCCTACCTGTGCAGCGGAGAACACCACAGGTTCCATAGTCTTGCTGGGTATGATGTGTGCTAACTTGGTTTAGACTTCCAGCTCAAACAGAGCTGGCAGTGTCAAGTTTTTTCTCCGGAAATGGGAACGCAGCTGTCGATCGTGCTACCTGACACAGTGGTCAGACGCAGGACTGGCTGTGCGTCCGTGAGTGTACTTGCACGTCTGGTCTCTTGGCGTTCGCTCCTTGGTCCGCACCGATGAAGATGCAGGTCTGAGGGGAACTTGTTTCTCAGAAAACGCTTTTCTCAAGGGTCTCTTGAGCCATAGATTCGGTAAGGAGTGCGACTTTAAGTAGTCTGGGCTGAGATATGCGCATCAAGTGTGTTGGCCTAGGCAATTGGTCTAGTCTGCTGAGCACCAGTCCCCCAATATCGAGCTTGGAGGCTACATAGGTCCATTGGGGAGGTCATGGTGTGCATCCTTTTGGGGGTCGCCTCCCGCGATTTGGGGACTCCGCGCAAGATAATGCTCTTTGCTCATAATAGTCTTCTGTCTGGGCCCTTAGAACGCGTTGGGCCCCTTCGGACGTACCTGGGTATGTCGGGTCTTATGCGAACTTCAGTCGATACGCCTAAGGTTTTTGCCGATGTGATAAGTCTGCTTGTGTCACCCTCAGAGCTAAGAGTCACCTTAAGAAGCCTGGGGTGATCTGCGTATAGGCAGTCCTGGCTCCTTGCTAGTCGCCTGAGGCTTAGTGGTCTCAGCTTCGTGAGTGACATATTGACACACAGTTGGTAGAAACCTGTGCTATCTTGGATATCTCTCTCGGCCAGAGATGAATATTTGGATTCTGGTAGGTCAAATACTATGACCGATTAGGTGCTGGGGCCAGTCTGTATGAGCCTGGGCATAGCAGTGTACTTGTGGTGCACGGTTTTCCACTCTGAAGGAGGTTGCACCATTGCCTTATGCGCACCATTCCGGTGTGCTGGCTTGACCTTATCTTCTCTTCGTCCGCAACTTGGGGTGCTGATAAGACGATTGATTTTCATCCCCCCGCTAGTATCTGTCCCTTTGCTAATGGTCTTCCTACCACCTTCGACCATCTCAGTTTCAGTACTAGCCTCAGTAAAGTTTGCCGCCTTCTTAGTTCTATCTCGCACTAGTTCAATTAGTAGCTGTATACAACCCAGACAGTACCACTGCAGGAATTCGTGCTTGACCTGCAGCTCGTGTTCCCTACTGTCTGCTTTGCTGCAGACCTTGTGGTACCAAGACTTGCAGGCGCCGCATTGAATACCGTTGCGGACGACCAGCTTGGCGCCTCTGGGGTTACTGCATGGAACCCTAATTGAGGTGGTGGTGTTCGGCGCTTTGCTGACCTTCATCCCGTTCCCTCCAGTAACCATGACTTAAGAATTTATAAGTGACCTAGATGGTAGTTTGTACGGAAACGTCTAAATTGGTGAGTAGTGAACAAATTGAATAAATTGAATAAAAAGTGGAATAACTAATAGGGATACGAATAGGAATACAGATACAATAATAGTAGTAGGTAACTATACCTAAGGCTAAAGACAAATGTACCAAAAATATAGCAAAATGGAACAACCTGAGTTCGAGTTAAGCTGAACAGCACTATGCAAGGACACACGAATAATAAAGAGCACCACAATAAACGATGGAAAATTGCTACAATAACCTGAAAAGGTAGACCTAACACCTAGAAAGGACTAAATATGATCAGAAAGACAAACCACATCCAGTGTTCAAACCGCGCGCGTGTCATTTGTAGAGCAGGAACAGCAGTGGTCCAAATACGGATCCTTGGGGTACACCGCTTGTGACCACCACCTTGTCGGATGTGTGAGATTCTACTTTGACACAAAATGTCCGCTGCGCAAGAGAGCCCATAATCTGACCCCAGACCAGCTCACCTATTCCCAATAGTTGCATCTTAATGAAAATAATATTAATAATAAATGTATATTTCACAGAGCTCCGTGACGCATTCATAGACATGATCAGATGTACAATATATTCATCAGCACAGGAGAAGATCTAATAGAGTTGAGGGTCATAAGGGAAGTATGAAGGAATGGAATTCGCAGTGGAAAAATTCTCGGAGACAAATGGCGAACATGACAGAATGCTCCAACAAAAGAATTCAGAGTAAGACAAAAAACAGGAACCGTCATGATAGATGAACGGTGGGGCTAATGGGATTAACAATCATTTAGTACAGGGAATGGTAGAACATTTAGTGGGATTTAGGAAACGACGAGAATGGACTATGCTTGCGCGCTACAAACAAGAAGAACCACAAACTGGACAATGAACGTGCAGTTGTTACGGATGATTGATATAGAGGGGGGTGAGCTAAGTAGTACATTTATGACAGATAACTGATCTGTAGGTAAAAAGATACGAATATGAGAAAATCAGAAAAGC